TTCCCGCCCTCAGGTCTTTATTTCTACTTCCTTTGTCTTCAAAGCTGCTGTGAGCACTTGCCCTCAAAGGGCCCCTGATCTCAGGGGGATTCCCTTGGCTTACTTTTCTTTGCTCTCCCCCGTGTGTGTGTGTGGGTGTGTGTGCGCGCGCGCGCGCGTGGACGCGCGCTTGCCCCCGGACCTCACGTCACAGAGAAGTACTCTTTCTCGGTGAGGTTGCACAGGATGGACAGGACCCCGGGAGCAGTCACTGGGTTCACGGCCCTTCCTGCAAACTGCCGGACCCCTTGGGCTAGTTTGTTATTTAGGATTTTCTCATTTTCAGGGAGGGTCCCATGTTCGCTCTGACTCAGTACAGTTGCTTCAGGGGGCTTCAAGATTTCGTCTCTGTCCATCCATCACATCTGAGGGCCCAGCGTGGCCTGGGTTCTGCTGTGACCCCATTCTCCAGCGCCCCCCCCCAACACCCAGGCCTGCAGGTGACACCCAGGTGATGTTGGGACACTTGTGACCAGCGAAAGAACCTACTTAACTTCGGGGAAACACAGATCCTGCCCTCATGCTTGACAGCACAAATACAGCCCCTCATGTCGTTTTCGGGTCTTCTCTGAATAGCAGAGTATCATTAGACTGTCACTGGCCATTGAACCCATGAAGACACTAAACGTGTGGGGTACAGACTTGGAAATAAATAACCGTCTCCCTGTGGAGTGCCCACCACAGTGGCTGGGGAGCACACGCTGTGAGCACTTGGGACCCACAACCCGTGGGTCCCAGGGGCCCCTGCCCAGCAGCCCACAGCTGCTCTGGGTAATCACGACTGTTAGAAGTAGTTGAGATTTTAGACTCAGTGCCCCGTTTGCCTGGTTCAGCCTTCAACGACTACATTAACGGCTTACTGAGGCAGTCTGTGTGACCCTGAACTCCCTGGGAAGAGACCAGAATAATACTGAGAGCTCTGAAATAAGCAGAATAATTCTTGGCATTCATCCAAGCAGAGTGACCAAATCCCGCCCATACTGCATAAAGCGAGCGATTTCAGTGAACTGCCCCAGCAATTTGACAGGGACTAAAAGGCGTGATTCTGAATACTTTTTTCACAGCTACCCGCTTATGGAACGCGTCCTCTGAAATGCTCATATTAGGGCGTGTCCGCTCCTCAGTGCCCGCCGTGCGTTGGTGTCTGCTCCTAGCTTTGCAGGCACCATCCTTATGCTTCTAGAAGCCTGTGGTAGAAGATGTAAATGGAAGCTGCCTGAGATTAAGTAACTTCCCTAAACTGAGAACGCTCTGCGAGACCTTTTGGAAATCTACGTAAGCAGATGAGATTAATGAGTCTCATGGAAAATAATTTGGAAGCTACTAAATGCCGTTGAGTTGGAGACACAGGCATCCCCATGCCCAGAGGAACGGCTTCAACGCGCTTGTGTGAACCGCTCACTAGTGAAAAGAAGTCCTACTAAAAGGTCACACATTCAGGGTACTTCGAGAGATGGAAGTTGGCCACTGGCCACGTTTCAAGAGTCCTGGCTCTTCCCTGGCTCTGTCCTAACATCATACCCCAGGGCAAGCCCGTGGCCTCACTGTGAGGGGCGGGCTTAGAGGCAGAACTTTCCACTGGGATTCAAAGTCGTGGGCTCTGAGGTGCACATAAGCTGCCTGTCCTCACCCAGCTTTCTCCTGATGCAGGGAAATTCTTTACAAAGCAGGCTGCCTGTGCTTCATTTGGGGGTGGAAGGTGGACAGAGAACTTGATTTTACCCAAGCTTCTGGGTCTTCTCCACTATCGATGACTTTATAAACGCTAGAATATTTCCCAAGGAAAATTCTACTAATATTTTAACTTGGCCATGGAATTCTCTGTCAGGTTATTATGCAGTGAGTATATAATAATCTACGTAAAGTAGACTGAGTTTTCATTTTTTACCATGAGGTGCAACGGTAACACCTCTTCCCTGGCTTAGGTTGAGGACATAAAGTAAGTCCTGTGAATTCCTCCTTTAAAGTGACGATCCTGGCACATGCCCTTCAGAGGACTGGTCTGGTGCTCAGAGGAGCGGAATGTGAAATTGTCAGGATTTTGTCAGCTGGTCGCAACTGGCCACAGTAGCAATATTGACGCCGTGGAAATCAACAAATGCTACTATTCCCCACCCCCACCCCCGGAACCAGCTGTTAAAGAGGTGCCAGCAGACCTGTCTCACATCCTCCCACTCTGCGCTGGACCCAGATACCCGGGAGAGGGGTGGACAAGATCCCTGCTCGGTCCACCTGTGAGGCTGCCGTCCTCTCAGATTCTGGCATACAAAAGAGTGATGGAAATTTGAGTTTGGGCCAAATTAATGACCATGGGCATGGGGAAGAGGGCCACTCTCAGGGTGGCCTTGGAGTTTGAAAGCACCTGATTCATTGTTACCTGAGTCCAAAGGACTCAGAGACACAGGTTTGGAAATGAAGGATCTGGAAGAGATGTGGGAATTCACCAGGATACAGAACTGCCTTCCTGCAGTGAGCTTGTGCTGCACAGGCAGCGGCCAGACTGGGCATTGATTCTAAAGTCAGGTCACCCTTTCCCTTGATCTGTGGGGCCCAGCGCTCACACGGTTAGGAGCCCAGCACTGTGCCTCGTGTGGGGGATACTGGGGTGACGACGGACTGACGGACTTTTGGGGACGATGGCAGTGCCCCGTGTCCTGTGCAGGAGCCAGTCCGTGCACGTGGCTCTTGAGCACCTGCCGTGTTGCCAATGCAACTGAAGAACTGAATTTACAATTGTAATTAACTTGAGTTTGAATTTCAATAGCCACATGTGGCTGCTGGGTACTGTATTGGACAGAGCAGCTCAGGGCTTGTAGGAAGAATATTGATGGCAGCCTGTGTGCTGAGAGTGTGGAGGGTACATTCATCACACTGGATTCAGATGTGGGACTGCTAAGTGTTCTCCAACACCTTTGCCCAGCAAGACCAATCAGTCCCATTCAGATGCGCCCGGCACTGGGCGAACCGCATTAGAAGGTCACCCCGTATCCTCCTGTCCCCTCCATCTGCAGGACGTGTGATGATTCCCAACTCCCAGGTGAAGAAACAAGGCACAGAGAGAAACAAGGCAGTCCATGCCCCAGGTCCTCAGAGTCCTAATTCCCACCTCGAGGTGCCTTCTTAAGTGCACGGCTCTGTAGACCGACAGCACTGACGGGAACTCAGAGGATCCCATTTACAACCAGTGTCCACACTTGTTCTGATAGTGTGTGGAGCCTACATGTATAACGTGGTTCTCCTTTCGTGGGGTGTTCGTGGGTGTTCAGCCTCGGCAGTTTTTAGTTCAGCACATACCCTCGCGAGCATACACATTAGCATATGCATATGGCTTTACACCATTTGGTGACTCTTCTCCCTGCCCCAACTAGTGATGTTGGATTCTTCCTGTTTTGCTGTCTGGTTTCAGTCACTTCAAACTGCCTCAAAGGCAGTGATCGGGGCCCGTTTGGGCTTTTAATTCTTCGGTGGGAATGTGGTCTACTGATCGACAGACCCCTTGCAGAACCACCTTAATGTGTTGCTTTTGGCTGTGCACGGAGTCAAGCCTAAATGACTGAAATGGGATGAAAATGGAGATGTAAACCCAAGACTGAAAAAAAGGCCCTTTGAAAACATTCTGCAACCTTAGGCTCCTGCTAATCTCCTGTTAGATTATTTTATGACTGCCTAGCAGCTTAATACCATCGACTGCAAACAGTACTTCGTATGAGGGGGTGGGGTTATTGAGAATCTGCTCCCTACTGGATGAGCCACCTGTGCTAAGCGGGAGAAGCCAGCCTCCGGGCCCAGGGCTTAAGCCTCACCTGCTGCCCTGGGACACACAGACTGTGTCCTCCGCGTCGTCTGTGGTACGCAAACGCTATAACTAAACCACAGCAATCCTCTTGAGGAAACTGGGCACCACGTGGTTTGTGCCCTGACGGTACATTTCTTGGCTTACCTTCACACTGGCTACTAGCTCACTCGACCCGGGGTGGGGGCCGCAGGGGTGGGGGTGGGGGTACTCCGATCCCACCTCCAGACCATTGCCCGGAGGGAATCCGGACAGTGTCAGGGGGAAACGGGAAAGAGAAAGCCCGGCAGTGAAGACAAAGGCTGGTAAGCCGTGGGCACCGTTTCGAGAAGCATGGAACTTTTGTTTTAGCACAGCCCGCTGCCAGACCCATACGAGCCTTCCTAGCTAAGGGCTCAAGACTAGCATCCTATCGTTAGGTCATTTAAGTTTGCTGCTGCACAGTTTAAAAGATGGGGAACAAAGTTCAGCAATCTGATGTCAATGCCTGACAGCTCGGGCTGCTAACTGGGTCTGGTTCCCCCTATGGTGCAACTGCACGCACAAAACCACTCGGGGAAAGGCACGTCTCCTCGTGACACACAGACAGGGCTTGCCCGAGGGTGGGCATTGCCTCTAGGAGCTCCTCACAAGGACAGAGAGACATCTCCCCTATTGTGGGAAACCCTAGCCCTAAATATCAATGTTCTTCCAATGATTTAATATAACCAAGTCAGCATTTGCTTTGCAGAACGCCACCTCAGTTCTGTTCTCTACCATAACCCGATTCCTATGAGGCGAGGAGCGTCTGATTTAGAGAATTTGGACTGGCCTACCCCGTGAGACGTCCTCAGGGTCATCAACCTTTCATCGCAGGGCACACAACAGAAAGACCCAACAATTCATTCATTCAAACTATCAGCACATGGTTTGAATTCCAGGCCAAGCACCTGAACGCCAACCATCAAATCAGTCTTCACCGCGAGTACGCAGTGATGTCTGGCATCGTACAATGACCTCGGGGCCCCTCTGAGCTCACGCCATCCTCAGACTATCGCCTTTGCGCAGAAATGCGGAAATGTCAGTCTCACTAAGGATCTGGGCCTTGGAGGCTACCGAGGGACCCTGGGTGGGCTGGGCGCGGGGGGATGAGCCCGCATGGCTTCAGGGGAAACGTGGGCATACATACCCTTCCCGGTGGGCCTCTCCTTTCTCCAGCTCCTGAATGACCCCCAAGAGCACTTTGATGGTTTCCTGGCTTGAGCTGATCAGGTCCTCCATCACCTGGAGCTGTGCTTTCAGGTCGACGACTTCCGTGTGAGGCACGATTTGTCGGGATTCTCCACCCCCAGCGGCCGCCGCGGCGCAAGGCTGGCCGTCCTCCCCCGGCGGGGCCCGGGTCTGCGTGGGCCGCCCGCTGCATTCGGGGGACAGGCACTGCATCGGGGGCGAGCGGGCTGCTGTGGGTCCCTGGAGCCCGTTGAGACGCGAGGCTCTCCCCCGCTCCTGGTCGGCCGCCGGGCACAGGGGCCACTCGCTCGCGGTGGCAGAGTTTGACAAGGCGGCCTCGAGGGCCTTCGCGCCGGGGGCAGGTGCATAAACGGCGGCCACCTCCGTTTTGAACACCGTCCCGTGGGCCGGCGGAGCGGCTTCCTCCGTGTCCGGGGTCGCCCTGCCGTGCTTCGCTCTGCCGTGCAGCTGGTGGTCGGGCTCCCGGGAGGAAGGCCGAGCGGAGTTTTGGAGAGGCTCCTCTCGGCAGCCGGGCGCATCAGGGTTTTCGCCTGGCTCTGCGCAGTTGAGCCCGGCAGGCTGGTCCAGCTCATTCACGTGTTCATCGGAATGGAAAACCGAGGCCGCCGTCTTGTGCACCCGGCCGGCACCCCAGGGCCGGGCCTCCTCCCCCGCCCCTTCCTCCTGCTTCTCCGCCACAAACCCGTTGTTTTGACTTTTAAAGGCATCCGCAGCCGGGATGCTTTTGAGATTCCCCTTTTTGCGGTCCAGAGGGAAGGTCTGGTAACACTTTTTCAGGTCCGGCGAGGTCTGCACGCCTGTGCTCTTGGTGACATTGGGGATGGCCCTCCGCGCGGGCACGGTCATGTATTTGCGGTAGGCTGCTCTGTAGGACACGGGCTTCGCCTCCCGCTTCTCGCCGGGCTGTCCCGCCGCGAGCCGTGAGTCCCTCTGCTCATTCTGTGCCTCGCAGATATCCTTAAAGCGCACCTGCAGGGCTTTATTCCGCTTTTTAATCTGCCGGTTGGGATCCAGGGCGTATCTCATCTCCAGGGCCAGGCAGGCGGCAGGTTCGACTTCGCTCTCTGACGTCGTGAGTACGCATTTGCCGGTTTCCTTACTGACCATGATTCCTGCGTTCAGAAACATCAACACAGGCGTCAGTGGGACGGAAACACACACGCGAGCACAGGCACACACAGCTCCTAGCTCACCTCGCTACCGCCTGCTTCCTAATTACTTTTAAACAGGTGAGGTTGGCCTTTCTGTTAAGGAAAATCAGACAGGCGGAGGATCGCTGACAGGCACAGCTTGAGATGCTTCTCCGCTATTAAAGCCTGCCTGCTTTTCCATGTGGGATACACTCGTTTCTTTTGATAGTAATGCATGTTTCCCCATTAGACAAACCTGTTTTACTATATTCATCAAGAAGCCCAACGATGCTGCCTCTTCTGCCTTCAAATTATCATTTTGCACACACGCCTCCACTTCATAGGCAGATGGCTTTCCAAATGCATCTTATTCGGTTTGGGCTTTTACTAGTTTTTTGAGGATGACGTGATTAATCTATTACTGGAATCCAGGAGAATTGGCGTTTTCTTATTGGGGAGTCTAGGTCCTGATCAGAGAGATCCATGTGGAGCGCCCTACGATGAAGCAGGGAAATAAACCTCTTTGTCTGTCTTTGCCAACACGGGTGCCATGGGACAATGGGCACACTGCTATGGGGACACCAGAAACGGTTAATCTTTGCGGTGTGGCTTGCTTCTAATGGGTTAACGCTAACCCTAGAAAGAACGTGGGTTCCCCTGCATCGATAAAGACCGTGTTAGCAGCTCTGTTCTTTGACTCTATGGAGAGTGGTATTTGAAAAAAACATTTAAAAAAAAAAAAAAAAGAAATAATTCATTCTAGAATCAAGTTTTGTGTTTTGATCCCAACCTCTGAAAACGAAAACAATGGTGGTTGTTTCAGTATTTGAATCCGGAAAGAAAATAAAATCACAAGGCTTTATGTTAATCGTGCAAATTCATCTTGGGCTGAATGATTAAATGCATCTAAAAAGGTGCGGGTGGCCGATGATCCCTCTGGGGAATACCAGTGGGCTAAGTGCCTTCACTGTATCAGGCAGATTCACAGCTGCGCATTAGCACGTGGAAGAATCTTCTTGAGGGCCGAACTTAAAGGAAGAAAATAGTTACGTTGTTTGTGAGTTAGCGCTCCGGAAGAAAACAGTCAGATGGGAGGGACCGGGGTGTACAGGGCCCTGGCCTTAGAGCAGCACGTCCAGAGAGGCAAGGTCACAGACGTGAGCCAGATGAACAAGAAGGGGGCCCAGGCTGCACTGCCCGGTGCACGCGCCAACAGGCCCTTCGGGCTGTCCGGGGTGGGGGAGCCCATGAACCCGATACTGAAACCTCCAGGAGCACTTTTCTGGAAATGTTACAGGAGCTGGGTGAGGGTATGGGCCGCCCGGGGCTCCGCTGATGTGTGTAGACTATACCTAACACCTTTAGTGCCGTGTGGTCCATTTCAAGGAGAAAGTGGGGTTCGGAGAGGTTATGTCACTTGTTAACGTCACACAGCAAGTAGGACGGACATACAGGCAGGAGCAGGATCCTGATCTCCCTGATGTCTGAGTTCATGATGTTTCCCATAACCTCAGGTGTCCAACAGAGAGGCACCTCCCCACATCCTTAATTCTTATTGGGGTAGGAATGCGTGACACTGGGCATGATCGTCCGGTGAAGGCAAAAAGTGGGGAGAAGCCCAGAGCCCCCATTTGAGCGTGTTCTAGAACTGCCTCTCCTTGCAGCCTGGGGACTCTGCAAACTGGCCCTGGCACTTTGCAGGTCTCTGCTAGAGTTACTGAACAGAAGGCTTAGAGAGAACTTAATTATGTCATCACTTATGCCATGAGGATGAACCGGCAGTCACGTTGGAGGGCAGCACAAGTGAGCTCTGCCGAAGTTGCTTTAGGTCGGACCAGGGTTTCTCAGCCTTGGGACGCCTGGCATTTGGGGCCGGATGACTGTTTGGTGGGGGTGCTCTTCTGCGCACGCAGAAATGTTCAGTAGCATCCCAGCTGCTGCCCATTAGACAGGAGCACCTTCCCCGTGCGCCAGTGACCTGGGGAGAGGGGGACACAGCCGCCCCCAGGTAAGAACCACCACATTAGACCGTGCCCCTTCGATGGCTGGAGTGTGTCCCCGCAAGGGAAGGGCCTTCCTTCCACCAAGGTGAATGGCCGAGAACAGATGGCAATGTCCCGGCTCCCGGGGTGGGGGATGGGTGTTCTGGAAGGTGCCTGTTTCGAAGGGCTAATCTGGAAATGACCCAGCTCTATGCCTAGTCAGGAGGGAGCCACACCCTCCTGCCACTGCCGCATCTGTGTTTCCTCTGACAACAGAATTACCCCCAAACAGTCGCTCTCCTAGGTAGTCTGGAGAAGACAGAGAATAAGCCTTCTTTGGCTGTTAGGCTTTACTGGGCGCTGAGGATCTCCGGAGGCCTTTGTAATTTGACACTTGAAACACTGGGCGGTTTTGGAGAGAGCATTACAGGAAGGGAACAGACTAGAGCCGCATCATATCCTGGCTCTGTGTTGGGAGGACGAGATTCTGGATGGCGGGTGGGATAGAGAAGGCCTGCTAAGGAGAGATAATATATATCTTTTACAGACACTTATCCCAACAGGTTAGAATGATGCACACAAAAGGACTTGGTGTGGGGAAGGTGTGGGGAACATGGGGGTCTAATGAGAAAATTAAGTCTTAACCCTCAGTCTTATCTCGTAGTCATTCTTGAGCTGCCTTTGTTGTCCAGCTGTGTCAGACTGTATTGTCCCATCATTCTGCAGAAGACCTTCCTCCCAGGGAAAATTTGAAAGGGAGAGCATTTTTACAAAAAGCAATTTACTAGTAATTTTTCAGCCTTTTCCCTGCCACTACTGAAAAATGTGTGTCTGAATAAGTTTGTCCTACCACGCCATTCATCATCACGATTCGCCAGGAACTGCACCGAAATAATTTTCTTACATCCGTCCACTGGTTTGGAAAGATATTCTGCATCTTGGACCCAACCATCAAACTAATAAAACAAATCAGAAAAATTAATTGCCAGTGGCAAAATAATAATAATAAACAACTCCAAGCTCCTCTCTGCTTTACAGGGAGTTGCTGAGTATATAAAAATCATTTTCTTATTAGTAAAAATGATGGTGATACTTCAGATTCTTTTGCTCAGCGTAGTTTGTTGATGCATTCGTTTTTAACTAGAAATGGAATTGTCTTAATCTCACCGATAAGAAAAGACATCAAGGAGTTCTTGTTGTTGACTTATTTGGACCTCAGATGGAGATCTGCACACCTTTTGATGGCTGGGGGGCATTTACTCTAAAGCTTTAGGATGGAATTTTCCTGGACACTGAGAATTACTTTCATATTAAATGGTTACACCTTTCTGGGGGTTCACTTACTGTTTATTGGTGGGGGGGGCGGTACTCAGGCTGGTAGTGATGGTTAAGGAAACGGTTTTGTCGTGAAAGGACATCAGGTGTTCCAGAGAAGACATTCCATAAATCGAGGCTTCTGGCCCATTGTATTCATTCATCATCCCTTCGTTCATTCAGCGCATGAGTGTGCACCCGTCACGGCGCGAGGTCAGCGTGCAGTCCACATGTCCTCCTGCTTCTAAACAAATGCTAACATTCTCTGCACTTCACTTGGATTTTCTCCTTGACCCTCAGGACGGCCTCCCAGGGGAGGCTCTCTTACTATCCTCAAGCTGCAGATAGAGAAATTGAGGCTTCAGATTTTTTTTTTCTTTCCTAATTCGCCGAGGGTCCCACAGCTCAAGGGCCCCACCCTGTATCCCTGTAAATCCCGGGCATTGACCTGCTGTCCTGCCCAGGGAAACCTGGAGCCTCTAAAGTGAGTGCCCTGCAATGAACTTCAGAAAGCATCCAACGGCTGGACCTCCTCTCAGCGACTTCCTTGGCCTGTTTGTCGCAAGGCATGTGGGTGCGGGTTATGCGGGTTATGCGGAGAACCTGCAGGTAGTTCCCAGGAATAAACCTGGGCCCGAGCACAGACTCAGGCCCGTGAGGGCCACCCGCAGTGTTGCGGTCCTCCTGAGGCCACAGTGGCATTTCAGCCATGGCTCGCCTTGGCTATGTCACCTCTGAGCAGCATGGGCTCTGGGTCTTGGAGTTAATCTCTTGGTCCCAAAGCAGCAGGAGTTCATAAAGTTTATTTTTCATAAGAAAATTGTGTTTGGGAAGTCATCGGACTGTGTCGTCTTGAGGTGAAGGTGGCGAGGCACGCTTGAGCCCGTCTGGCTCGGGGAGAGCTGGGGGTGTGGAGGAGTGTTTGGAATGTAAATGTCTTAATTACCCTCAAATTAAAGTGCATAATCAAATGTGAGTTGTAAATATATAAACCCTGTATTTTTAGATTAGTGATGGAGAGTCATCTCTGCGTGCTGCTTTAAATTAATAGCTTATATAAAAATGTTCCTTCCAGCCCAAGGAGTGATAAGTGGAAACAACTAAATGCCTAACAATAGGTAAACGGTTAAGTAAATTATGGTGTACGTTCACTCAGTGCGGCCATTAAAATGATAATTATAAAGATTATTTAGTATCATAGAAAAACACTTACGAAATAATGTGAAGGGAAAGAAAGCAGTCTCCCAAATTGTACTGGAAGGAAATGAACGAACATGGTCACCGTCGTGGTGTGTGAACATCGGGCATTTGGGGAGATTTATCTTCTTCCTTCTGTTTTCCCGTTTTTGTTGAGGGAGCCTTAATATTATCGTGTTGTTTGCCAATTAAAAACCGCAGGGCGAAGTCAGTCCGCACCTCAGGCAGAATGACAGGATCAGGCCGCTGGAAATTACACATACTTGCATCACAATAAGAAAAACCCAGAAATGATTAGATTTGGGTGCGTGCAGCCTCCCAAAGGTCACCTTTTATTGTTGGGAGGAAGCTTTGAATAAACGACGCAAATGAATTTCAAAGCACTGATGTAAACGTTAGCGTGTGGAGTACGTGTGCAGATGTGCACACGTGTGTGCACAGAGCTGTGTACCTAAGTGTGCGTGCACAGGTTAGGAGAAGCAGC